CGGTGCGCCACCCGCCCCGGCCCCGCGGCCCAGGCCTCATCTCGCCGGCAGCACCCCACCAGGCCGTACCTCTGCAAACCGACCATTCACCCACGGGGCCCGCGCCAGCCTTTCAGCCCTTTTTCTTTACTGGAACTTTCCCATATAACATGCAAGGTAACAAAGTGTAATTTCCCATCCTCCTATTATATTCTGTTCCGTGTTTTTGTTACGGGGTGAAAGATGAAGTTAAAGAATCATTCCACTTTCAGACTCGTGTGGAATAGAGGTGTGAGATGTTGAATTCCTTGGCCAAAAGTACCCAGAACCTCTCTTCCACTCTGCTAAGTAAAGTAACTGTTACACGGTATTTTAAACACAGTAATACTTTGCAAACTGATGGAAAGATCAGTCCAAGCACCATAAAAACTCAAATTTTGCAATATATTATGTAGTACTAAATGTGTGTCCGGTAGCTTGTAACGCCCTGACTTTGTGACTGGATGGATCAGATGCTGAACTCTGTAAACATGGTTCTCCTGGGTATTTCTGTTCAAATGGACACTTCCAATAACTGCGCGGTGTTTCTCAGTGAGGGAACAGGTATTGCATTATAACGCCTGAATTCAAAAGATAATGGTAGATACTTTAGTGTTAGCTTTGGGTTTGGTGGGGCTTTTTTCTGAGGAAAACACTTCTTAATCTTTTCAATCAGAACTTGTGCTAAAGGTGAGAGTCCAGAACCTCAGAGACAATGACTTCATTGAAATTGAACTGGACAGACAAGAACTGACCTATCAAGATCTGCTCAGAGTGAGCTGCTGCGAGTTGGGCGTTAATCCAGAACAAGTAGAGAAGATCAGAAAATTACCTAATACACTAGTGAGAAAGGTAAGAATTGAAATCAGAGATTTGACTTTGCACTTTTCAGACATCAGAGGTTATTTTTGTAAAAACATGGCCTTGCAAAACATTTTTGCAAAACATGGCCTTGTGTTAAAAAAACAAGAACTGACTTAAGCTCACAAATTCAAAAGGGTGTTGGACTTTTCTTAAAACTTCATCGTAACTTACTTAAAAATATTCTTGTCGAAATACACGGAGTATTTCAGCTCCTAAAGCACATGAAACTATTACAGCTTGACTTTTTTTTTTTTAAATGTATCAGAACAGTGCACTAGCGTGCTTTTAACATAATTGCCACGTACCACTGTATTGTTTGCTTGCCTAAAAAGAACCCATAGTAAGGGGAAAAAAACCTACAAATTGACATGAATACTTTAAAGAGATGCCATTAACAAATGAACATGCTCTCCTGTTCCAAAAATACCTGTTCTGGAGGTCTGTAACTGAAATGCATTTGGTCGCAGCTCTTAGTTCAAGTGACATGCACAAACAGTCAAATCGTGAGGTTCA